ACCACCACCCCTCCCTGGCCACCTCCTGCGATACTCAGATGCTGCTGCTGCTGCTTCGGCTGATGTCCTTGGGCTCAATGCATTCCAATTGAGATTGAGAAAGAAGCGCAGCGGCATTCAAAGCAATCCAAGCGCATTCCTCGAGGGTCCTTCAGGGCAGGAGTGAGTGCGAAATACACAGGACCAGCCCGTTGACGATTGCGTTTTAACTGTCTCATTAGGAATAGTTCAGGCAGTTTTAGAAGCAATTACGGAAAATATCAATGGTCTCCAGACGGACGCCCTGCTATTCTTCTACTATATGGATCCTTGTGCGACGGTGCGTATGCGTTATATTCTCTCATACAGCAGCCAACGAAGCAAAAGGGAAATTACTTTGAATTGCTGGCAAATTGCAATTGAACTCGAGTCGAGGGGAAAGTTCTGTGCAAAAAGTTGTTGAACTCCTTCGAGGGTTCGAGGATGTTCTTCTCCCACAGGGCCTGCGATGCTTTAAAGTTTTATGGGGAAAAGCCAATGCAAAAGTGCTGGAACTGATGAATTCTATACGGCTTTGGGTTTGCTGCTGACTAACGAAACTTTTTGCGTATTTTAATCCACTTTGAATAACATTAATTATCCCCAACAAGCCATTAGTTTAGCCAGGATTCTTAATTACTTTTGGCTTTGATCTCGACCAGAATTTGAATTGCAACATCCCCCCACAAAATCTGTGGCTGTGGCCGTGCGAATAATTGCATTGTAAGCCCTTCGCTTCCCTTCCCTTCCCTTCCCTTTGCTTCCAAATAGGTCATAAAGTGCCTGCACCCCACCCCCACCCGCCAGAGGACTCACCTGTAACCAGGAGAAGGAATATGAAGGAGCTTTGAGCTTTGTTTAGTCGGAATTGTCGCTGGCTTTTCGCCCGTAATCGGTTTGAGTTTGTCGCTGGACGTTGGACTTAGTTAATTGACATGTTGCAGCTGCAATTGGCACTCGCGAACTGCTGTATCTCACAGATACCTCCGATGATGGTGATGGTGATGGGATGCTGCTGATGGGAGACTGTTGCTGTGGTCTTGTGGCTGTGTGGCGCTCGGCGATGCTTTCAGATGCGATGCTATAACGCGACTGATACGAGCATAACGGTGAATGCGATTCGGTATTTTCGGCTGGTCTTCCGCTCGGCAGTTGAGTGCTCGGCGCCGAGTATTTGGGCTTCGGCTTTCGTTGGCTCTCTCTTTCCCACTGGAGGGCAAACAACAACAACAACAGCAGCACGCACGAAAGTGAATCAAAATAAATTTCCTTTAATAATTTACTGCATTTGAAATGCTTTTTCCCAAAAACGAAAACAACACGAGACAGAGAGAGAATTTTGAACAATTTGGTATGGAAAAATGGAATTTTTCGTCGGTCTGTTTCACGAATTTGATTCACTTTGCACTTTTGCTTTCAAACAAAAATCGAATCTAAAATTTAGAACCCAACTTTACCGTTAACTTGACGACGCGCGAGAGAGTCGCGAAAGAGACTGCAAAAGAAGCGGCAGTGCTGAGAGACGTCCACACCGCTGGCTGACTCGAACTGGATTGAAAAGCTGCCCTGCCACGCCGCCGGATGCTCCTTCAGCGAGCGTCAGAGAGAGGGAGAGAGACAGAGAGAGAGAGAGAGGTGGAGTGTATCTATAGGGTTCCATTTCTGTACTTCCATTGACACCCTTTTCCCCATGCTGTCCCATTTGTCTCTCTTTGTCTCTCTCGAATTCTGTCTCCAGCTGTTCGTCCATTTCCAGTATATTCGAGTCTTGTCCGAGCAGCAGAAGAATCGGTTTGAGATTTCGCTGTTCTCGAGGCAACTCTCAGCTGTTTTGGTTGTTGTTTTTGGGTTCTCCTCGGCATGGATGCACTTTTTGAACAGTATTTACCCGAAAATAAGACGATATCTGTCCTATTATATTTTTTCGACTTCCTAAGATAGTTGTTTTATCAAATATTGCTTTTGAAGCATATTTTTCTAGCATTTTCTAGCAAAATGTGGGTTTTAAATTTTTATTTTACATAATATTTATTTTGTATTATTTTTATTTTCTTTTATTATTATTATATATTGTTATAAATATATACTTATTTTATTTTGTATTATTTTTTTTTTGTATTATTTTTATTTTATATATTTTATATATATATATATTTTATATATTTATATATATATATATATATCATGTATATATTTTATATTATATTATATTATATTTTTATTAATTATAATTTTTATTAATTTTATTTTATATTATTTTGTATTTTATATATAATTTCATAAATCAGTTGTTTCAATGTTCCTCAAATTTTTGTAGGAGTTCTTTCTCGGCTGTTCATCAGTTTTTAGATCATTTTAAATAAAATAAGAAATATCATTCTATATGAACTTGAAAGTATGACGAAATTTCAGGGCTAACAAATCATTCTAATATGCAGGCCCCATATCTTTAAATGTAAAATATGAGACATACAAAAATTCCGAAAAAATAATAATTATATTAATAATATTAAATAATAATTATATTAATTATATATTAATATAATTAATAAAAATCACACATTTTTCAAGATTTTTTATTAATTTATCATTTAATTTATTATTTAATCCTTATCCGACTTTCTGTAGCCCTTTCTGTTGCATCCATTTCTTTGTAGCGCTTTGCATCTCTGGTATACAGTTAGCATCAATGAAAGCGTCTGGCAGGGAGAGCGCCGTACGGCAGCAGCTTTTACTTCCAGTCCCAAAGCTTCCTCGAAGAGAGAGCAGAGCAGCGAGAGCTTTGCCTCCAGCCCAAGCGGCTACTGGGAGCTTTTACTCAACTTACTCAATAGCATTGAAAGTGCGCTGCCTCCTCCCCTCCCCACCCCTTGGCTCTGCTCACCGCCCCCCGCTCCCTGCACAGCTGCTCGCGTTTCATTGATGCCCGAATATAGGTCAACAATGTGTTCGAGAGGAGCTGCTGTGGGCAGTGGGTACTGTGGGTAGGGGGTGAGTAGGGGTGGGGTTTGTGGCCCATCGTCATCGGTAGTATCAGTGTCACTTGGCGATGGCTGCACCACCGAATGGTAGCTGAGTGCCGCCGCCACAGACACCTTTTGCTACTCCTGTGCCCACTATCTGCGCTCGACGGAACACGGCAAACATTGTAAATTGTGCGCCTCGCCTCGCCTCGACGATGATTGCTTGCTGGGGCAGACCTCGAAGCGCTGAACAAATTGCACGACATTGCGCATACGCCATGTTATCAGCGCGGAATTTATGAGGCAACATTCGTATTTCCATTCGCATCTAGCACTCTGTAGGCATGTCCTTTAATTGAATTTTTATGCGCCGCCGGCAAGCAGCGGACAGGCGGCCTGACAGGCGAAGAAAGAGAACGCTTTTCCTTTTCCTTGTGCCCTTTGGGGCACTTTCTTTCTCTTTGTCTTTGTCTTTGTCTTGCTGGGATTTATGACGTCCGAAATTGGGTCAAAAGTTGAGCTCGCCCCAGCTGGCTGGCTGGCTGGCTGGCTGGCTGTTGTCCGTGTTGCTCCTGCTAAGCACATTCGCAGGATAATCCTAATTGCGCTTTTAATGCACAAGCAAGCTCCAGCCCCAATCCCGCCCCCTTCCCCTCTAGAAACATCGCTTCTCGCGAGTTCATTGCATTCCGTCAAGGACGGTGGCAGAAGGCTGCTTGTGGCCTGGCAGCAACACGACTCTGCACTCTGCACTCTCCACCCCCCACATTCCTTTGGAATGTTTCATCTAGCACGTGACTGGCCCCCCGCTATCAACAATTTATTGCAGCCACTTGGAGCAGCTCTCCCTCTCTCTCTCGGCGCTGGCTTATCGCCCAACTATTTGTTAAAGCCAAAATAATCTACTGACAATGATGACGTTGCGGGCGGGCACCAAAGTCAAGGCTAAAATAAACTGGCTTTAAACAAACACAAAAGAGAGCTACAAGGCAGTCGCCTAACTAATAGTTTAAAGCCATCTATGGCTTTGGCTGCACTCGAAGTGGAGTTAATGTTGTTTGCCTTTGCTTTTGTCTGTTCTTTATCGACGTTTGTTGTAGCTCTCGGGCTTCGGCGCCTTCAATTATGATTAAAATGGTTAACAAATTACTTAAGTAGATGACAGGCATTGTCGCTATCGACCGATAGCCGACGCCAGTGGGGCACTGAATGACGAATCACCCAAAACTGTTGGACTTTGCAATTTGTGTGCGGAGGAGAGTGGATAGCAGGTATTTCATCAATTCTCTAAAAAACATCTGTTTATGGGTAATTCTATAAATGAAACTGCGTAATTGGAAACTTGAGAAATATATTAAATACGACATGGGCTCGGCTCTTGACAAATCGGATTCGATTGATTAATGCGACTGTCCGTACATCACAAATCAAAGTGCGAGACTGCAGGAGTGCGTCATGGCATGGGAACAGTGGAATGGAACAACAAAAAGGGTTCTCTTCGAGAGGTGGAGCTCCCTTCCTTTACATAATCGAGTGATATACGACTTGCACTCGTTCTTGAGCGTTTTCCGGGAACCTTTAAACACAAAACCCAAGAGTGGCTCGTGTCTATCGGATCAACCTTTGTCACAGCACAATTCTGGAACAATTTGTTGCTCTGGTATTACACTATGGGCCCCTAAACTTGCGTTAGACTCATGACCAATCACATGACTCATGAGCGGGGTCAGTACCATGCAGCATTTATAGGCTGATAAGCGGGTATCGGGAGATACATTAGAGCAACGTTAATCGTGACGTAGTATGCATATTGCCAGAGCAGGCAGACAATTTTCCGAGCCCCGGGCCATCTGTGCGACACCCGCCATATGGCGGAGTCGTTGTGGGGTGGCAGCCGCGATATGGGCTGCCAAAAAGCGTTCAATATTCGTTATCAGCCATCAGATAAGAGGCCCCAACCACCCTGTCAGAGGCCCCATTGAGGGGCCGCATTGAAGAGCGCTCAGAAGTGTGCGAGACTCCGTGCGGAACGGAACAGAACTTGGCCAAGGAGAACGAAAAGAACTGAGAAAAGAATCTTTGATCGCCGTGCAAGAAAGTGAAAACGGCTGTGAAAACAGACACCAAAAAAACGTTTGTGGGGCAAACATTTGCCAATTAAGAATCGTCGTTGTTGTCGGCGCGTGTGTGAAGTGGGGGAGTGTGGAGTGGAGTGAAATACGTCTACGAGATGTCCGAGTTTGTGCGGGAACATGTAAGTGAAATTTCCATAGAGACTTCCTGGTTGTCGTGGCACCGAAATAGCCTGTCTTCCAGTCTCCCCTCCAAAAGTCTTATCAGAAAATTGCTCTGATAACTGATATCAGACGACACCGACACCCCCTCCCGCTGCCATCATGGGGCATATTTTAATTTTAAACTTATCAACCAGACGCGACTCCACGACTCCGCAGAGCCTACACGTGTGCTAATTGTGTTGTTCCACCTGCGGCTGTACGAGGAATGTACATAATAATACCCAGAGATTATGAGCATAAAGTATTTATGATTAGGTAGCTCAAAACTCAATTGTGTCCGTCACTGCGGCTAGTCATGGGTTGCCATAGTTTGAGCGTGTAAAAACCCTTCACTCCCTGCCATTCGCAGCCAAAGCAAACTTCTTATCGAAATGGCGAAAAGTCAATTAAAGATTATAGGAAAGCAGATACGGGGCAGGTCTTGAGAGCGCTGTAAAAGGCTTTGGCCAGCCCTAAACCACCGAGCCACAACGGGATGTAGTGTCTTCAACGGAATAAACATTATAAATCGCACACATATCTGTCTGTACGACTTTTGTGTCTTCCCGGAATCCCAACACAGCCTACTCTCTGCCTTGTTCCACTACCACTGTGCCTAATTCCATCTAATTCATGGAATGTTTAGTTACTGATTCGGAAAACTAATGACTCACACTTTTTGGGGAGGTGATCTCACCGACACGACACGGCAGACATTTCGATTAGCGAATTCCCGATTGTGGGATCTGTATTTACGATCGTTGGAAGGCACTTAGTGAGACATTAGTCTCGATTTTTATGGCAGGTGTTTGCTCATGTCTCATGGCTCATGGCCGGGAATAGGCCTCCGGCCGAGTAATCTAATCTTGGGATGGGTGGGATGGTTCTATAGGCAAGGTCATATCTTCCCGTGTGACCCCTTCGTTTTGGCAATTATCACCTGTTTGGTGCTGCCTTGTCGTGTCGATTCGATGCTCAGATACCGATAAGACCTGCTTTGTATATCGGCATTCCAATGATAAGATAATGTCTGCCGACAGCTGCGCATATTTGCCCAAAGTCGGCTACCGTTTGTGTTCTTTTCTTTTATATTTAAATCAGGCCACGATATTCAAGGGTTTGCAGAGCAAACTCTACTGTGGACATAAAATAATTTCCTCTTCACTGGCCGATATCGGGTTGGGTGTGGCACCAAACGATATAAACGTTTATAAGTGCCATTTTAGGGGGTTACCAAGGGGTAAATCTAGCTATTTGTTGACTCGATATCGTGTTTTAGAAGTCTCGCTTAAAAAGGGGGGCAAATTCTACGAAAAAGAGCTCAATAATCGTTGAGGAAAACTCATTGATCATCAGAGATCTTTCAAGTAGAGATTTATGGGTGGTTTTTGACTTGTTTTTTCATGGGAAAACTCTACAAGTTCATTGGTCTTTCGAATATCTCGTTTGTCGTTAGTTTTCAGTTCTATTTAAAGGTCTTTATGGACTGCCCCGTGATTTATGAACTATCGATGTAACACGATAACACGACGCCTGTGGCCTATCAGTTCTTATCGGTTACATTTATGATGTGAAAACTAACCTCAGGGGAGTCCCTCAACTTTCTATCGACAGGGCGAGTATGTGTGGGTGAAGCCGCAGAATGCCACGAGCGAGTTTGCAGTGCCTTTCGGGGCCCGTATCGTGCGCACGGAGAAGACCCAGACCCTGGTGTGCGATGATCGCAAGAAGCAGTTCTGGGTGCCAGCCGGGGACGTGCTCAAGGCCATGCACATCACGTCGCAGGAGGATGTGGAGGACATGATCACGCTGGGCGACCTGCAGGAGTACACGATCCTGAGGAACTTGGAGAACCGCTACGCCAAGCAGTTGATATACGTGAGTGATGGGAACCACAAGGATATCCGAGGCTGTGACTAAACGCCACTCTCTCTCTCTTTCAGACTTACACCGGCTCCATGCTGGTGGCCATCAATCCCTATCAGATCCTGCCGATCTACACGAATCGGGAGATCCAGCTGTACAGGAACAAGGCCTTGAACGAGCTGCCGCCGCACATCTTCGCCATCAGCGACAACGCGTTCCAGCGGCTGCAGCGGCACAAGGAGAACCAGTGCGTGGTCATCAGCGGCGAGTCGGGGGCGGGCAAGACGGAGAGCACCAAGCTGATCCTGCAGTACCTGGCCGCGATCAGCGGCAAGCACTCGTGGATCGAGCAGCAGATCATCGAGGCCAATCCGATAATGGAGGCCTTCGGCAATGCCAAGACCGTGCGGAACGACAACTCCTCGCGCTTCGGGAAGTACATCGAGATCCGGTTCACGCCCGAGGGCGCCATCCAGGGGGCCCGCATCCAGCAGTACCTGCTCGAGAAATCGCGCATCGTCTTCCAGAGTCGGGAGGAGCGCAACTACCACATCTTCTACTGCATGCTGGCGGGGCTCACGCCGCCGGAGCGGCAGCGTCTGATGCTGCAGGAGCAGTCCCCCAGCCAGTACCACTACCTCTCGCAGGGCGGGTGCTTCACCCTGCCCGGCAGGGGCGATGCCAAGGACTTTGCCGACATCCGGGCGGCCATGAAGGTGCTCTCCTTCAAGCCGGAGGAGATGTGGAGCATACTCTGCCTGCTGGCGGCCATCCTGCACCTGGGCAACCTGCGCTTCAAGGCCACCGAGGTGGCCAACCAGGAGGCGGCCGAGGTGCAGGACGACGAGACCCTCAAAAGGGTGGCCAAGCTGCTGGGCATACCGGTGGCTCCGTTGAACCTGGCCCTGACCCAGCGCACAATATTCGTCCATGGCGAGCACGTGACCACCAGCCTGTCCAAGGAGTCGGCCCTGGAGGGACGCGACGCCTTCGTGAAGTCCCTGTACGACGGCATCTTCGTGCGGATCGTGCGGCGCATCAATGAGACGATCAACAAGCAGCCGGACCGGCCGATGAACAGCATCGGGGTCCTGGACATCTTTGGGTTCGAGAACTTTGACAACAACAGCTTCGAGCAGCTGTGCATCAACTATGCCAACGAGAATCTACAGCAGTTCTTTGTGGGGCACATCTTCAAGGTGAGTCTGGCATAGGATCCCTCGATAGCTTGGCTTCTTCGCACTCAAGAGAGGGTCTCTCTCTCTTGGGCTCTCTTTTCGGGTCTTACAGCCCATTTCGTGCGTCTCTCTCTCGTCAAACAGGGCGTCCAAGCGCTCTGTAGTGCTGAGCACCCGAAAGAGAGTAAGCGGACCACCTCTTATCTCTCAATGGCTCTCTCTCAGCAACAGCAAGACCCGTTCTCTGTCGTGGGGCCTCTCTCTCTCAGCAAATACAAAACAAAGCGAAGCAAACGGGTCTCAACGTGCATGTCTGTTCATGTTCAGGGCTGGCACGTGCTTCTATACATATATTCATCCCATATTCTTAAGATATTCTTCGGAATACCTATTCGCATCGTAACCATCAAGTGCTCTACCTCTAGATCTCCCCCTCTCAACAATCTTTCATTTCTCTACTTTAGATGGAACAAGATGAATACCAGAACGAGCACATCAACTGGCATCACATCGAGTTCCAGGACAATCAGCAAATACTCGACCTCATTGGCATGAAACCGATGAACCTCATGTCCCTGATCGATGAGGAATCAAAGTTCCCCAAGGGCACGGACAGCACCCTGCTGGAGAAGCTCCATGTCCAGCATGGCAATCGCTCGATTTATGTGAAAGGCAAGACCACGCAGACCTCGCTGTTTGGCATCCGCCACTATGCGGGTGTCGTCATGTACAATCCGCTGGGATTCCTCGAAAAGAATCGCGACTCGTTCAGCGGCGACCTGAGGGCGCTGGTTCAGCGCTCGGCGAACAAGTATCTGGTGGATATCTTCCCCCACGAAATGCCCATGGACACGGCCAAGAAACAGCCGACGCTGTGCGTGAAGTTCAGGAACTCCCTGGACATGCTGATGAGGACCCTCGCGCAGGCGCATCCCTACTTCATAAGGTGCATCAAGCCCAACGAATACAAGGAGCCAAAGGTGAGTAGCGTGACGGAGACCAAAGGCTTGTCAGTTCTTGACCCTCTTGTATCCTGTTGTAGAACTTTGACAAGGAGCTCTGTGTGCGACAGCTACGCTACTCGGGCATGATGGAGACGGCGCGCATCCGACGCGCAGGATATCCCATACGAACCGCCTACCGCGCCTTCGTGGAGCGCTATCGATTGCTGGTGCCGCCCACGGGACCCCTGGAGAAGTGCGACTGTCGCCAGGTGGCGCAACAGATCTGTTTGGCCACACTGCCCGCCGACTCGGACCGCCAGTTCGGCAAGACCAAGCTCTTCCTGCGGGACGAGGATGATGCCAGCCTGGAGGTGCAGCGTTCGCAGCTGATGCTCAAGTCGATTGTGGCCATACAGCGAGGGTTCCGGCGCGTGCTTTTCCGGCGATATCTGCAGAGATACCGCCAGGCGATCGTCACCGTGCAGCGGCATTGGCGGGGTCGCCTCCAGCGTCGTAAGTACCAGATCATGCGCCAGGGCTTCCACCGGTTGGGCGCCTGCGTAGCTTCCCAGCAGCTGACCACGAAATTCACGATGGTAAGATGCCGCACCATCAAGCTGCAGGCCCTCGCGCGGGGCTACCTCACCCGCAAGGACTTCCAGTCGAAGCTGGCGGCCCGCAGACAGCTGCAGAAGGACGAGCAGCAGAAGATGGTGCGCCTGAAGGAGGAGCAAGAGCTGCAGCGGCTCATGCAGCAGCAGGAGCAAAAGGCACAGAAGGAGCAAGAGCAGCGGCGTCTCAGCGAGGAACAGGAGGCGCAGCGTCTCAAGGCCGAGGAGGAGCAGCGGCTCAAGGCCGCGGAGGAGCAGCGGCTCAAGGACGAGGCGGCCACCCGCAATGCCCTGGCCATGGCCGCTCTGCAGCAGCCCAAGCGCACAAAGTCCCTCAAGCAGGAGGCACCCAAGGCGCCCACCCAGCAGGCGCGCATGTCCCTGCCGCCGCCACCGACCACTCTGATCGTCGCTGCTCCTGTGGCCACGCGTCCCGCCAGTCAGACCACCGCCAAGGCCACGAACGGCATTGCCCCCATACCGGAGAGCCCGCAGGGCTACAACGACGTGGAGTCCTCCAAGCAGATGGTGGACGATGTGTTCGGCTTCCTCAACGACGAGCCCGATGTGAGTGGTCCCCTGGGGCCGAATGTCAAGGCGAAGTCTCTGATGTTCGAGCGGGAGCTGCGCCTGCGCAAAGACGTGCCCACGAAGCTCCTGTCCCGGCCCGTCAACTACTACGAGGCGGCGCCGCGGAAGATCGTCAACCAGACCCGCCTCTAGTAGGGACGCTCGGCCGGGACAGAGGGGCCCTGAACAAACTAGACCTAGCTGTAGATGATATTACTCCCAAGGCTGGACGACGACTCCTTGGCTGCCAGGGTCGTCTTCCAGCCTTGCGACTCGCCTTCATTGGGACTCCATTTGGCTACCTACTTTTTTATGTACAAATCTATTAAATGCAGCTTGTATATTCCATATAATATATACGTACACGAGTGTATATTGTATTTGTAGAATGAGAAAAAGCTGTGTTTGTGATCGCTTTTTGTTACAGTTTCCTCAATCGATGAATGTATATATCGTAGTATCTGTATAACCATAATATTTATTATACTCTGTAAATAAAACCCATTGCTGGTGATATCTAAGGAATCTAGAGATAAATGTTTCGTTTTCTCGTCTGCTCTGCGTTGGTTGTGGTTTGCTTTCCGTTCGCCCCCAATCTTTGGCTTATTGTATATCGTCCCCGTCAATGCCAGTGAGTGTCCCCATAATAACCCACCCTCTGGGATCGCATGTCACCATTATATTCAAATACCATGAACCTATGACTAATTTGGTTATATATTTATTTCATTTGCCTAGACTTTAGGAATAGATTATCTCTATACAGATACGACATTCATTTCTTTATTTTTTCAATTGGTTTTCTAAAGATTAGAGCTTTTTAGAGTTCTTAAAATATTCCTATGCCATAGATACCGATCTAAAGGCTCTTATTGAAGCGGAAATTATTTCTTTTTATTGTATTTACATCATAAAAGCTGGACTCATTAACAAAAAGATTAGCCAGAAGGTTATTTACAGCCCCCAAGCCATAGGCCAAGCCATAGAGGGTTCCCTCTAAAATTTACAGCCGTATTTCCTATCGCTGTGGAATTTCATACATTTTTGTATAAAAATAGTTGAGGAATTTCCCCTGGAAACACTTTATAGCATATAGCAAAAATTCCAAGAATTTCCTAGAACTTTGGATTATATTTAATAGAATTTTACTCGAGAAATATCTTCCTTCAGGCCAGAATATTACCCAGTAACCTTTACCATTTCCACTTCAAAATAAAACAACCACAAAGCACAACAGCAACCACACCAGTAACAAAAAAATAGAGTTTATTAGCCAGATTTCGAAGAGGTTCCCAGAAGTCGGAGATCCACACCGGGTCGTCTTTAGTCAGCAACTGAATTTGGAGCCAAAGGAAAATGGATGTGGAGCGTGGTCAATGGCGGGCGACAGGCCGCTATCAGTGGGGCGGCAGAAGTTTAAAACAAATACCCAAAATGATAAATGAAATAAAACCCCGATCGTAAATAATCGGCCGCAGAGTCCTTATCGCGAGGGCATATCTTCGGGTGCAGCATGCCCCGTATATTTATAAAAGCTTACGCCTAAAGCACCTCTCGATAAGTGGCACTCAGATTACAGCTGTCGAAATAATTAATACCTCTGAAATATAAACTGAATTGAATGTCTAAGAGTATAAGAGAACACCACTTGAGGGCTCCACAGAGAGAGGGAGAGAGATCTAAATAGTTGAACGAGTCGCAAAGAGTTTACCCTAGAAATCACTAACAGAAAACCTTCTTTACTTGCAGGCTGCTCGGAAGAGACTCCAGGCCATTGCCTCCGGCGACACCATACGCCTGCCCAAGCCGGTGGCCAAGAACATAGACACCTCGGACTTCAGCTATCTGAAATATGCCTCCACTTACTTCTGCGGTGGCGCCTCGGCACAGCATGAGAGGAAGCCCCTGAAGCAGGCCCTGCTCAAGCATGAGCTGCCTTTGGATGAAATGGCCTCAAAGGTGAGTCCTTTCTAAAAATAACTTAACTTATTCAAAGACGTATCCCCTACTTAGGCCATTTGGTTGACGATTCTGCGCTTCATGGGCGATATACCAGAGGTAGCCCCGTCGTCGCCCATTCTCCCCTTGGACGATGCCAATATCATGAGTGATTTGTCGCGGCTCTTGAGCGCATTTGGTTCTTCAAAGCCCCGACTATTTGTGCGTCAGGCCCTCAAGCGTCCCTCCAAGCTGCAGGGCAGCAGCCAGAGGGAGGCCGAGATGTTCTACCAGCACTGGCTCAATGCCTCCAGCAGCCATCTGGATAAGCTGCACTTCATCATTGGTCATGGCATCCTGAAGGATAACCTGAGGTAAGGCTTGGCAGTGCATCAAAACGTATCCGTATTAACCTTTCAACTCCTGCCAGAGATGAAATTCTTGCTCAGATCTGCAAGCAGCTGTACTTGAATCCCAGTCGCACTTCCTATTCCCGGGGCTGGCTGCTCCTGTCCCTCTGCCTGAGCTGCTTTCCGCCAAGCACGGACTTTGAGCCGCATCTCCGGAGCTTCATGAAGCAGGGAACCGCCCAGCTCCAGGCCGCACCCTCGCTGCAGCGTCTCGAGCGGACTCTGATGAATGGCGCCCGCTGCCAGCCGCCGTCGCTGCTAGAGCTGCAGGCCATCCGCGGACGCCAGCCCCTGAAGCTGGACATTCACCTGATGGACGGAGAGACGCGTCGACTGCAGGTGGATGCCGCCAGCACGGCCAGGGAGGCCGTGCAGCAGCTGTGCCAAGGCCTGGGACTGAGCGACTGCTTTGGCTTCGGATTGCTGATGTCGCTGCACGGCAGACTCATGCCACTCGGCGCTGGACGAGAGCACGTGCTGGACGCCATTTCGGTGTGCGAGCAGCGCCAGCTGGATGCCCCCTGGAAGCTGTACCTGCGTAAGGAGATGTTCGCCACGTGGCATGATCCCGCGGTGGACCCCAAGGCCACGCATCTGATCTACAAGCAGATCATGAACGGCCTCAAGTGCGGAGAGTATCGCTGTCGCTCCGAGAAGGACATTGCCATGGTCTGTGCCTTGGCCTGCTTCATTGAGCACGGCCCGGGCGCCATCGGAAGCCTGCAGACCACCGAGATCACGGCCTTCGTCCCCAGTGATCTCCTGGCCCCGGGCGAGCGTGCCGTGCAGAACTGGAGTCGCCTCATTGCAGCCACCTACGAGCGCAGTTCGTATGTCAGGCAGGAGCAGGAGGCAGAGCAGCTGGCGGCCAGCCAGCAGAGGGCCAAGGAGGACATCTGTTTGTTTGCCCATCTCTCGTGGCCCATGCGACACTCGCGGCTGTTCGAGGTGCTCCGCAAGGAGGGCCCAAAGCTGCAGAGCGACGAGCTGATGCTGGCCATCAATGCCACAGGGCTCTTCCTGATCGACGAAACGGAGCAGGTGCTGGCCTCCTGCAGCTTCGCCGAGCTGCTGAAGGTGCACACGGAGTCCAACGAGGAGCTGCACGTGCGCACCGTGCAGCAAGTGAACTTTGTGCTGCAGTGCAGCGCCGCCGAGGATGCCAGCGAGGTCATCAACTATATGCTGGACAATCTCCGGCAGCGGTCCAGCTTCGGCGTGGCCCTCGACCACTCCCAGGAGTTGGACGACGAAGACTTCCTCACTCTCTCGCCCGGGGATCTCGTCCAGTTCGACTCGGGTGTCACTGGGGCCCAACTGATGGCCGGCAATGCCCAGCAGTGCTGGCGTGGCTGTGTCCAGGGTCAGTGGGGTCAGTTCGCCGCTGGCAATGTCCGTGTCCTGGCCACACTCACGGAGCCCACCGCCAAGCTGCAGGAGATCTTCCGCGAAGGCCGATTCGATGAGGAGGCACCCAAGCCGATTCCCCGCAAAGCTGTTCTACGCCGTCGTCAGCACAATATTTCTCAGCTGGCTGAGATGCAGTTTAGGGAGGCCATAGAGTGAGTTCTTCGGAAAGTCGGCAATGGAGGGAAGATAATCCAAGTTTTCCTTTTCCTCAGATCTGACAAGGCTCCTCTCTCGAAGTATTCGCCGGAACCACTCAAGGCCCCACTACTCAAGGCGCTGGGATCGAAGCCGCAGCTGTTTCAACAGGCCTTGGTCATCTACCATCACATACTGAAGGTAGTAGGGCTATTCCGGAGTGATTTTCCAAACTAAATTTCAATATTTTCCCCCTAGTACATGGGTGATATAGCCAGGAGCAATCTGCCCGTCAACACGGACCTCATCTTCCAGCCGGCTCTGCAGCATCCGCTGCTGTGCGATGAGCTCTACTGCCAGCTGATGAAGCAGCTGAGCGACAATCCCTCCACGGAGGGCGAGAAGCGGGGCTGGGACCTGCTCTATCTGGCCACGGGTCTGATGGCGCCCAGTGTCCTGATCATGCGCGAGCTGCTCATCCTGCTGCGCATGCGCGCCGACTCGCTGGCGGATGCCTGTCTGAAGCGCCTGAAGCGCTCCGTGCAGCACGGCCAGCGGAAGCAGGCGCCGCATCTGATCGAGGTGGAGGGCATCCAGCAGCGGTGCATGCACATCTACCACAAGATCTACTTCCCAGACGACACGGTGGAGGCCTTCGAGATTGAGTCGCATACGCGCGGGGCAGAGCTGATCACGGAGATCGCCCACCGACTGGAGCTGAAGACCGCCGTGGGCTACAGCATCTTCCTGAAGACCGGCGACAAGGTGTACGCCATGCCGGAGGCGGACTTTGTGTTCGATTTCATCAGCCAACTGCTGTACTGGCTGCGCCAGCAGAAGACCATTCGCTCCGCCTGCGACGGCCACTACCAGCTGCACTTTATGCGGAAGCTCTGGCTGAACAACCAGCCGGGCGAGGATCCCAATGGGGATGTGATCTTCAGCTATCCCCAGGAGCTGCACAAGTATCTGAAGGGCTACTATCCCATAGACTGCGAGCAGGCCTCGCAGCTGGCGGGACTCGTCTACAGTGCGGATCAGGAGGTCAGTCTGCAGAGACTGCCGGAAGTGCTGCCCCGCCTGGTGCCCGAGGATCTGATACCCCTGCAGACGGTGGCTGATTGGCGCCAGCAGATCCTGCCACGAATCCACCACGAGCAGTTGACCGAAGACCAGGCCAAGCTGCTGTTCCTGCAGGCACTCTCCCAGCAGCAGTGCTTCGGCTCCACCTTCTTTGTGGTAAAGCAGCAGAATGACGAGACCCTGCCCGAGTGCCTTCTGATCGCCATCAACAGCTCCGGCTTCCACCTGCTGGACGCCCAGACGAAGCAAACCCTCCGAAGCTTCGAGTACTCGCAGCTCGGGATGTGGAGCTCGGGGAAGAACCACTTCCACATACGCTTCGGCAACATGATCGGAGCCTCGAAGCTGCTGTGCAGCACCACCCAGGGCTACAAAATGGACGATCTACTGGCCTCCTACGTGAGGTACTTTACTGATCAGGATCAGGGGTAGCCCCATACAATACACATTGCTTATATATATCCCAGTTCCTTGGACTTGTCAATAAGAGCCAGCATGCCGGCCATCAGCTCCTCGCAGTTGGGGATAATCTGCACGGGGGGCAGAATGAAGCCATAGCGTCCCAGGTCGCGGTACTCGATGGTGAACGCAACCTTCTTGTCCAGCTCATTGAACACCCAGTCCACGGATGTACCCGTGGCCACATCTACAAAGAGCAACATTCGATTATTCATCGTTTAAGGACCCTTCATTGTGGTGTGAACTTACAAAGGACATCGGCTGTGGTGCCATAGCGGTAGACAGTGCCGTAGGGCAGGTCTTCGATGGCGGTGGCAAAGGCCTCGCCAATCTCCAGGAGATCCGCGTAGTTGTCTGGAAATTCTGTGGCAGTGTGTCCATAGGGAGAGAGCAGGTACTGGCCATAGGAGTGGAAGGATATGTACACGCTGAACTGGTCCTTTATCTGGGTAAGGTACTCCACCAAAGCCTTCGCCTCTGGCTCGGAGCCAGGCTCGTCTCCGGCAAAGGTCTCGCTGCAGGGATTCGAAGAGGCGCCATTGTTCTCCAGCCAGTGGGAGTCAAAGTTTCGGTTGGCATCGGCTCCAATGCATTCATTTGTGGCATGCGGCTGACGGGTCTTCCTCCACATGCGATTCTAAAAGAGGAGAAGAAATTGGTTCAAAAGAGAAGAAAGTAGAGGAAAGTGTACGGCACCTTCGCGTGGGAGTACTCGAAACCATCCACATTGAACACGGGCACAATGTGCCAGTCGTAGCTCTCTGCCAGATTCCGAACTGCCGGCTCCTCGGAGGTGAGCAGCTGATTGATGAACCAGGTGGCACTGGCGGATGTAATCCACTCCCTGGCATGGATATTGGACTCGATGAAGATGCCCGGATTGCCCGCCTTGTGGGAGATCTTAATGCCGCGAATGGTGCGTCCCTCGTAGGACTGGCCCACGATGAACTCCTCGGTCACCGTGGGATACGCGGCCAGTACACTGTCCAGCCAGGCCTCGATCTCGGACAGCTCGTAGTATTTAGTCCAGCCAAAGGTGCCACTATCTGCGGCGGCAGTGACTTGCTCTCCATCGATAAGCCTAAGTGGAGAATGGGATCGTAATGTTTATGGCCTCTCATAAACCCCCGCATAATTGTTGGCTAATCGGCCACGTCCATCGGCCATCCACTCTTGTCGATTGCGTACTTACTCTTGAACATTCTCAATCATCTGCTCGCTGCTGATGTCGTTGACTCTCAATAGTTCCTGGAAGTGCTTCAGCTCCTCGGGACTAACCATGATGTGCACTTCCTTGGTATGCTCATCATATTCCTTCCAGATGTCGTACTACAACAAGGATAGGTCTCCTTGGTAATCCTCAGTTTCAATTCCAAATGAAAGCCTTTCTCACCTTATTGGAGATCTCACCAATCTTCTCGATCAAAGCCAATTGGATCCTGTTCCGAATCGTCAGCTTGTATACTCCGTAGTTATCGAATCTCAGTTTGGGGGTATCCTTGAGGGTCCCAGCATTAGCCAGGACCACCAGCGTGGCGGCACACAACCAAAGCAGACGCATATTGACCATTAACTGACTTTCTGGCGAACCCATCAGCCCAAAAGAAACACCTTTCCAATCGTAATCGCTTTCGTAATCGAATCTTAATTCTTTTATTATGCTTTCGATTACAAATTATATTTCAGCTCCAGATAACCCAACGTTTTACACTTATCTAACAATGCGGTAATCCCAATGAGCGCCTCCTCAGCATTGGGCACGATGTGCGCCGGGGGCAGGATGAAGCCATAGCGACCCGTGTCCCGGAACTCGATGGTGTAGGATATCTCGATGCCCTGCTCGTTGTAGGCCCAGTCATTGGTTGCCCCCGAGGCGGGATCTACACACAACAACAACCCATTATTTACCCTCAGAAATGGCCAGTTTCCCCGCACTACTTACAAAGTATTCCCGCAGCAGAACCATATCTGTAGACTGTGCCATAGGGGAACGCCTCAACCGCATCGCCATAGGCCTTGGCCACCTCCATCAGATCGTCGAAATTTTCGGGATATTCCTCTTTGGTATGGCCATAGGGCGAGAGCAGTAGCTGGCTGTAGGAGTGAAAGGCCAGCATCACATTGAGTTTCTCCTTGATGCTGCCCACAAAGTCGGACATGGCCTGGATCTCCGGCTCGGAGAAGGCATGCGGTCCCCCATAGTCCTCGGCACAGGGGTTCGAGGAGGCACCACCGTTCTCCATCCAATGGGAGTCGTAATTGCGATTGGGATCGACGCCAACGCAGGCAGAAATCTCCGAGGGCTGACGCGTCTTGCGCCACATGCGATCCTTTAGATCAAAAAATGTTAATGAGCTATAAAGGAGGTACAGATCTCCTTACCTTTTCATGGGTGTACACAAATCCATCTACATTTAGCACGGGCACAATGTACCAGTCGTGGCTCTCGGCTAAGGTCCTTACCAGCGGATCCTCGGAAGTGAGAAACTGATTGATAAGCCATGTCGCCGTGGCCGAAGTTATCCATTCGCGGGCATGAATGTTGGACTCAATAAAGACACCGGGATTACCCGATTTGTAGGAGATCTTCAGGCCGCGTATGGTGCGACCCTCGTAGGATGTACCCAAGACAAAACCTTCCGTAATTACCGGATATCTGGCGAGTATATCGTCCAGCCAGGCCTCAATTTCGGCCAACGAATTATACTTTTTCCAGCCAAAATCATCGCTCGAGGCTCTAGAGTTTTCATCCGTCTCCACGTCGATTAGCCTACGCAACAGATGGAAGAGAATTACATAAGGGAACCGAACCTCTTAATAGGCACTACGTACTCCTGCACATTGGGTATGAAGATCTCTGCACTGACATTGGCCTTCAACACTTCCGCCTGGAACTCGGGCAAACCGTAGGGGCTGATCATCAGGTGCAGCTCATCCTTGGCCTCATGCCACAGCCTGAACTGAAGGGGGTATTATATTAGAGACTCCCAGACTTTATGCGTAGAAATTCACTCACATTATTCCGATCCTCTGCCAGTTGTCGCAGAAGATTGCGCTGTCCGAGACTCTCGTACTTGATCTTATAGACGGAATAGTTGTCATAGCGTATCCTGCTGTCCTGACCCACAGATGCCCCCCGGGCGATGTGGAGCAGTGCCAGAGCCAAGAGCAAAGTGAAGGTGTAGCCCATGTTCAGTGCTTGGCATAGAATAAGCGACTATTTCTCTTCAGGTAGCCAGCCAGCTTTATCGCTCGGTTTTCCTTAGTCTCAATTGGGTTGTAAAGATACAGAAATTCAAGAGCTTACTGGCAATATTCATTGGTATTTCTCAATTAAATTGGAAGGTATAGAAGATACAGAATTTGCTATTGTATTATCTGGCATTCCGTTTTGAAACATTGGTTAGGGCGAGGGTTTGTTGCTGTGTGTTTTGTTTTTGGATTCTGTGGACCGAATCAGCACAGGACAGCGGGGTCGCTGTTAGAGGCGAAGGATAGCCCAAGAGAGAATTGAAGTACCACTACACCTTACCGTGAAGAATTCTGATGGAATATCTCGGTATTTTATAGTCTTTGCTGATAGGTACTTTTAGTCTATCATTGCTATATCACCGATACTCTCATCCGATAGTTTGTACTTTACCGCAGCCCTGAAACTACATTTGATACTATGAGTATTCGATGGACGGTACCCCGGAATTCATATGCTGGAACACTTTTTCCAGCTAAACGACCTATTAATCAAGGGACAAAGCAACAGCTGCCATCTGTTGAGGAAATATTCCTATATTTATAAAGCATTCTTTTGAGCCCCACTTAGCGCCAGTTCTCTCAGAATGCTGTTCGTGATTGCATTGCTCTGTTTTGGTGTTCTCCAAGCCACGGGGCTCCCAGTCCCAGCTCCAGTCTCAGTAACAGTGGAACCTCAAACCACCAAGCCATCCATAAGGACTTCCTATGCAAATTATAAGGTGTTTCGGGTGGGAATCCACACTAAAAGTCACTTTGAAGTGATCGAATTTCTGCTGTCTGATCCCGAGATGGTGAGAGATTACCTGTTGCTTTACGAGTGGCATTCATTTACTAATAATGTTGTTTTTCATCCTTTCATCTAGTATAATTTGTGGCGCATAGGCAAGAACGAGGTGGACATAATGGTACATCCAAGGGTGCTACAAGAATTTAACAACACGGTGACGAAGGAGTCGTTCAATGTGCAGCTGTTGGTGCCCGATGTTCAAAAGTAAGTTTATCAAACAATCCCACCGTAAATCTATTCTAAACATTGCTATTCCCTAGACTCATAGATGCAGAGAAGGCAAGGAAATAAACGAGACCTAGTACATTTTCATAGACCTGATTAGATTATTTATTTATTTTGCAAGCTTCACTCTTCTTCACTCCTTCACTCTTTCTTGCAACCGGTGCCACAGTCGCTGCCCTCGCAGATATCGCAGAGGGAGGACTTCACCTGGTAGTACTCGGTGGCACGGCGTTCCGTGTCGTAATAGTCGTAGAGGGAAACGGCGGCGGGCTTCTGTTTGGCCACAGCATGCGCCTTGGTTGCCTCCACGGGCAGGCACTTCACATCGCCGGGTGTCAGGCTGTCAAAGTACACAATGACCGTGGAGTCGGAGTTCTTGGTTTCCACCCGCTTCACCCGGTCGACGGCCTGGATTTTGCTCAGACTATCGGCATCCCCCACAAAGCCGGAGGGCAGAACGATCTCCATGACAGCCATATTGGAGTCCTTGTCCTTGTCGCCATCCTCGAGCGGAATGTACTCGGCGCAAATGTCGACCACCAGCAGCTGGCTGGAGGTGGTGTCCTTCACCGTGGGCGTAACCTTGAAGCTGGGCTTCTTGTCCTTCTCGGCCAGGTTGTAGCGATACGAGAGCTGAACCATCGCCGACCCCGTGCCCTTGGCCGTGAAATCGACCTTACGCGTGGTCTTTGGCAGTACGTGGGTCTGCAGCACCAGGGCGTTTTCGGGTTCCACCTTGATGGTGGACTTGGTGCCGTTCGAGGGAACAAACTCAACGTCCATTGTGCCAGTGCCCGAGCCTGTCTTGGAGGCGAATTTGGTCAGTGCCTGCAGGCCGATGACTGTGTCCTGGGTCGAGGCAAAGCCTCCGTTGCTGTTGCGCTGCCCAATCAGCCACTTGACGATGGGCAACGCCGTCTCCGCGGGATTCTTCTCGAGGAGAGCCAGCAGAACGTAGGAGGTGATCTCCACATCGTTGCTGCGGGGACGCCAGATGGTGAGGCGACTGGACTGCTCGCCGCTGGTTTCCGTTGCCTTAGACCACCACTTGCGGTCGTTCTCCTGCTTGGCCTCGCTCTCCAGCTTGGCCAGCACCTTCTCGGCCTGCGGATGCTTGGCCAGCTGCAGGGCCACAGCGGCAATGGCCAGAGCATATTGATCCTCCGTCTTGTCCACCTCCTCGGCCACATACTGCACACTCTTGTCAATGGCACTCTGGTACTTGGGAATGAGCTCCTGCAAAGATGGCCAAAAGTTAGTCAGATTTCATTTTCAAAGACCAATCAGTACTTACATGGTTCTCGAAGAAGGCCAGCAGGACGAAAGAAGTGAGAGCCAACTCATTCTGATTGGCGTTATCGAAGAGCTTACCCACCTCAGGGAACTCTCCGTTCTCCTTCTGCTTGGACAGGAGGAAGTCGAGGCCAGCGGTCACCACCTTGGGATCCACATCGGTGTACTTGCCCGCCTGGTGGAAGGATCGCATCACGTAGGCGGTGAGCCAAGTGCTGCCCGACGGATCGGACTTGCCGAAAGCACTGTAGGAGCCATCGTCATGCTTGTAGGTCAGCTCCCGCTGGTAGCCGATCTCCAGGAACTTCCTTGCCTTGGCCTCAATGCTGGGCATTTTGCGGTTGGTCACCTCCAAGTACTTCTGCACCAGGATGTTGGGCACAAAGTTCACCATGTTCTGCTCCCCGCAGCCGTACGGCATTCGCACCAGATTGTCGAGATTCTGGAGTGTGGGACCCAGCAGGTCGCCCATCACCGAGAACTCGATAAACTCCGAGTCGGGCACCGCCTCCGTGGGTATCTGCACTTCGAGAGTCTCCGACATCTCGGGCTGTTCCTTCAGGTTGATGAAAACCGCTCGATTCACGAACTGAGTGACACCCTCGGGCTCCACCTTCAACTTCTGGTGAATGGTGTCGCCGGCTAGGGGCGAAGTGGCGGTAATCTTCAGGGTGGTGGAGCCCACAGTCTTGGGGCGAATCATAAACGAGACGCTCTTGCCGCTGTTTGCGGGTATCGTTACGCGTTTTACTCGGCGCACCTCGTCGCTGGCCTTCTCCTCCACCTCGTTTGTGGCCTCTGTGAACTCGAACTCTTTATCCGTGTTGTCCATGGTGACCTCGGCATCGAGGGTCTTGTCCAAGTAGTTGAATATGATCACGGGTATAGCTATCACTTCGCCTTCAGTGAACCCAAGAGACGGGGATGAGTTGAAGTTGATTTTGGCTTAGGGATTTGAGCACTTACCCCTTTTCACGGAATACGGCAAGTTGGTGGACACAAAGAATGGCTGGAATACTCGGATTTTGCTGGGGTTCTTGGTCAGGGCGATGCCCGAGCTGGGGTTCAGCGAGAAGCCCGTGACAACCCATGAGGTAATGGTATCCGGGACTTTCTTCGCAAAAGTGAAGCCATCGGCATCCGTTCTATTGAAGATTATACGATTAATTTCCACCTCATTAACAAAGCATGATACACCACATATACAGTAACGGACGATCCACATAATGGATTAAATGAACTGACGATTTAGTTGACACTTATATATACATATATCCTTCCACCTCTAAAACAATGACAACATGCAGGGGGAAAGAGCTGGGAAAATGTTAGTGGAAAGGAACTTCAGTTAGGTTACTCTTCGGTGGAATGCTTTTCTTAGTTTCACGGAACTTTTTTAGGTATGCCGACTGGTCATTTGGTTATTGAAATATTCATTTACGCTGATGAGGGAATGTCTTATGAGTCACCCGACAGTTAACAGTGCATGGCATTAAGTGAACAGAATTTATTTGGGACTATTTAAGAATATCCAAGTATCTGTAAACTCTTTACGTATCAGTGGAAGTGCTGGTGGTGCATAATATTCAGCATGAGCCACAATAATGTGATCATAACTACGGCGGTGCTCGGGTTCTTCAGCTAGTGAGTGATAAACCACGTCATCAGACCACTGTCTGAGATCTGGGAATTAGATGTTGATTAACTTTGTGTAGGCATCCGTTGAGGAGCTTCAACCTATAACCAATTTGTAGGGCGTATCAGACCTAGCACAATAGGTATTGATGAGATATGGGCTTGCACTTGTATTCATTTGGTTCTTGAAATATAAATTTGAATGCCATTTATTATGGGCTAATGAGGGAATGTCTTGTGAGTCCCCCAAAGTCATGCCATTAAGTGAATAGAATTTACTCGGAACTATTTAGGAATATCCACGTGTCCGGAAACTCTTTACGTATCACTGGTGGTGGGGCTGGTGCTCGTGCCGATGGTGCCAATTCTTCGTAATATTGTGGTTCTGATGCCGAAGCAGCCGCAAGGCCTGAGCCAAAGGCGCGGGATTGGGGCATCGCATACCAAGTACGTGCTTCAATTCCTCCAGACCTTAAGAAATAGTCTCCTGAGGAAAACCACCTAGGATAACCTAATAAGATATTGATTAATTGTAAGAAAGCATCCCCTGAGGAGCTTAACCAAAAAAAATTTCGAGGCTGTCCCATCAGATCTAGCACAATAGATAATGGTGAGATATGTTTTTGCATTTGTGTAGCCATTACTTAAAAGTAGTGTTGTTAGTCAAGCACATAGAGCACACCTTCTACACACAAAAACTATGCCTAAAGGGTCATACTTTTCAGCATTGTAAAATATCCAGTTTTCCGGAAACTCTTTTCGAATATGGGGCACTGAGGCTGTAGGTGATGGTGGCGTTGTGGTGCTCAAAAATACAGATGGTATCATTGGTAGGAGATTTTGATTCATTATACCATTTCCTAATGCTGGAAAACGCTGCAGAGGTCTTGAGAACCACCGTCTTCCTAATAGGCATAGAAGTTCGATGTAAAAACCAAATGAAGGGCGGAGACAGCAGTTCCATCGCTATAGTATGTTAAAGGAAGACTCTTGCAACTGACGGTTGATTTTAGTAGGAAGAAGCTAGGGCATTCAAAGCGTGGAGAGAGAGTTAATCCTACTGATACCCAAACACACACAAAAAGCACAACGGGGAAGAGTATTCATTCAATTATGGTTACTTTTCGGCATTGTAAAATATCCAATTCTCCGGAAACTCTTTCCGAATCTGTGGAAGGACTGCGCCTGAGGCTGAAGCAGGACCTGGAGGGCCGGGTATTCCAGATGCCCCCGCAATCGAAAATGCAACCGGCATTGGCGAATTTAGTACAAAGAAAGGTACTATAAGATCATCTGCATCGGGATATATATATATGTATATCATTAGTATATGGTTAAAGCCTAAAGTTGAACTAGTTTTTTCAAGGTGGAGTTAGATTTTAATCTACTTTTTTGGATAGAGATGACTGGTGTGCATTCGGAGGGGGGTTCATGCACTACTTAGATAACCGTAGACCCACCTCCCGTGGCCGGTGGATTGCGAATGCCATATCCAGATCTCGGCAAAGTTTGTGCGTACGATGTCTACCTTCGTTTCAGACGGCGAGTGCGAATCAACGGTATCAATATCGTCGTCTACTTCTGCTTCTTCGTACTCAAAGTTGTCCGTCATATACAAACCAGCATCAGCATACTGAACAGCTAAAATTTGGGTGGGGGGTATTCGATTTTTCAATCACGATTACTTGTAGTACCTTTCCGAGTTCTTTGGAAACTCTTTTATACGAGTATCTACGAAAAATCGGATGTTCTGCACAAGCAAGTTTCAAGTATTAGTATTGGTGCATGGCGTCGAGAGAGCCTCAGCCTTAGAAAGCCATAGATTTGTGATTAGGAAGCATAGAGAGCTGTGCGTTAAGGTGCAATATCGTGTGTAGACGTTCGAGGGCGGCACCCACCTCCGGCTTTCGTCATATATCCAGACCTCGGCAAAGTTCTGACGTATTGGCATTTCTGGGTCGCCGTTAATCACTGGCTCGCGATTGTAAATGGCATTACCAAATCCCAATGGTGGACTGCCAACACTAATAGGTATGGCTTGAAAATTTGCTTCCACTTGCGGCTCTTCGTTAACATAGTCGGGGAAATCTGATGGAAATGCGGCTTAAGTTCTCCTTTTTCCAATGCGACCAAACAAACTCTTTGCAATATTTAACAATCCCTCAAAGTAGTCTACAGAATATACATACAAACCCAGTCTTACCCGTATTGTAGGGATAGTTGGCATTGGTCAGGGTCACCAATCCTGAGGTCTCTCCAGGATATCGGCCAAAGCCGCGACGATAGGGGGTCGTCGTTTGGTATTTGCTGAGGCTGTTGAAGATCTCATCACGGCTCAGATCGTTGCCGGACTTCAGCAGCAGAACACTCTGGTCCACTCCGAGAAGGCCCACAAAAGAATCGGAATCCGTCTTCACACGCAGCTTAATCTCTTCGCTGGGCTTTGCATCCGCCGGCGCAGATATTTCAATCTATTAAATTGTTCTGGTTAGTACGTGCCGCTTCAAATCAAACCCTTGAGCACCCACCGAGTTGGTGAAATCCATCTCGAAGTTGATTCGTTTCTCTTCAAAGCGCAACTCGTTGTCAAAGATGTAGTGCACGAAGATCGTGGCCAGGGGTACCATCGCAAAGCTGGGCACAAACTTGACCGTGTGAGTCTTGCGGCCCTTTGGTACATCCACATAGTCGGTGTCCACGATGTTTCCCCTGGCGACAATCGTGTACACAAAGTAGGGTATATCGGCATTCGACTTGACATCAAAGGAAACAGTCTCGCCTAGTTTTGGCCTGAAGAAAAGCAAAAGTTAGCCTATCACATTACGGTGAAAGTGTTCCGCCGTACTTACGTCTTGGTCTTCACTTCAATCTTGAGTGGTTCGTCGGTTTCTAAGGCAGGATGGAACTTTGAGATGCTCCCCACGTAGGATGAGGAGTCTCCGAACTCGGCATTTATGCTCACATAACTCATTTCCATTTCGGGCAGAGTGACGTTGAAGGAGGCCATGCCGTGTTCGTTTAGAGGTCCCTCAAAGTTGAACTCCTGCCGAGTTCCTCCGGAAAATCGATTCCCGTTCATGAAGCTCAGTTTGACCTTCTTCGTGGAATCCCTGACCGGCGAACCATCCACATTCTTGACCACAATCTGAAAGACAAAGGCCTTGCCCGGCTGATATGAGGGAGGATTATCGACACCCTCGATCTTGTAGCGTTGGCTGTGCAGATTGACAATCGTTGTAGCATTCTGCTTGTTGCCCGTCAGCTCCTCGGTGACGATGGCCAGGATTTTCAGAGGGGGAGAGTAGCCGCCACGGTATTGGTTGCCTTCGATGCTGAACTCCACGTGTCCCTTGCCATCTAAATTGATCGTCTTTTCCTGTTTTCCAAATTCATGGTTCAGATAGTGTGCAAAATTTGGTTCGATCGAGACGGTGGCCTTGCCCTTGACCGGCTTGCCGTAGGTGTACTTAGCCCTGATCGTGGCCTTCACCACCTTATCCTGCACGGCCACGTCCTTGGGCGACTCCACGATCACCTCGAACTTGGGCAGCACATACTTATCCACCTCGAATGTCTTGGTCTCCGTGCCATCGCCGTCCACACTCACGGCGATCTTCCAGGTGCCCAGCACTGGCTGCTCGGACAGCTGCAGCTCCCCGGAGTACACGCCCTTCGTCAGCTTGATGTCCGACAGCTGCTTAATGCGGTTCTGGGCCCCATCAGTGATGGCTATCGTGATGGGCTTGTCGATCTTGGCCGGTCTAGTGTACTCGTCGACGAATAGTACTCGGAACTGCACAAGATCGGCGGGCTTGTAGGTGGCCTTATCGGTCTGAATGAAGGTCGGGAGCTTATCGTCGGCATGGTTCAGCTTGGTGGAGTTCTGGAAGACGATGCCCGTCACTCCGACTGCTGTCAGATTGTAGTCCCCGCTGGCCAGCTTCGGCACATCGAACCCCACATTCTGGGTGGACATGGGCTCTACCTCGATCTCCTTTGTCTCGTTGTAGGAGGGTCCATTGAGGCTGATTCTCATCTGGCTGGGGCCGTCCGCCTTGTGCACGGACACGGCCACATTGTACCTGAAGTTGGAGCGGATGGTGCCAGGCCCCACAACCGAATAGAGGCTGCAATATATGTACACAAAAGATTTGTTTAATTAAACAAAACTGATTGCTGGCAATGAACTATCATTCGCGGATTACGATTACCATTTCTTAATTGCAATTCCATGTATAATTCGCTAATTAATGACTGTATTCTGATTCTCTATTCTCTATGATTGATTCTGTTTGAATCTGATAATGCAAAACAAATAATATAATGGTGTTCTTGAGTGTAACAAGCTGTGCGGTACCTCTTATATACTGTCGGACATGAAACATGATGTTTTTATAGTCCATACTCGGATTTATCTCTAAAAATAGAGATCATTGGCTTTATATAGTAGTTTCTGTACTGTCCCTGTCTCACGTAATCAAAAACATACTCCCAAGATCACGATGGGGTACAGGGTATATGAATATTAAACTTTTATGACACCCGCAATTAAGCGGATCCCACACTCACAAAATTTGTATGTTACAAACAAAAAGGTTCTCTGTTTTTCCCCCATTGAATGTCCCGCTGTGCTTCCCCCCTAGGCAGACGCGTGTTCCGATAATCAGTGGAACGAGCACCTCTCCCCAAAGAAGAAAGCCATCTACTCCAGACTGCAAGGCTTTTTTTAACCGGTTTGAAGGGAACCAAAAGAGTGACACTTGAACATTATCTGGATAGTAGACGTGGCCAGGCATACACTGGCTGGGTGCATACACAACTTTATTGACATAGTCTATTATTTGAATATCAGTTTATTGGTTCATATGGCACCTGACAGTAAGCTTCCTTAGTTTAAATGATAAGCGATCGATTGGACCATATACATATGTACGTATACATATGTATGCATGTATATGACTCTGTATAACAGAACTCACCCGGTGGCATTGATTAACAATGCGAATTGCAACAGAAAAACACTGAGACATATCCTCAACATTTTGGCAACGGGTCACGACACAAGCTGTAAAAGAATTTTGATTATTTCTGGCACATAATATTGTATATATGTTGTCTTATTTCACGCGAAGGTTTATGACAATGTTTTTTTTTTTTGCTCTCTCTCTTTCTCATTCACACGCGAACAATCAAGAACTGACCTCAAGAGACGAACACAGTGGCCGGCACGATCCAAAATGAGCTGCGCTTGAAACGAGACGGGGCTTAAATACGATTTCCAAGTGATCGGACATCGGCTCCCGATCCGATCTCTCTCCCATTCGTTGGGACGTCGCGTCTCTCTATTTTGTTTGTTGCGGGGAGTTTTGTCGCGCTCCAATAGATCCGCACGATCGGTAGGCACATACATATACATACAGTGTCGATCTCTACGTCACTGATGATAAATCTCTGTGTTTATTTGTTTTGATTGAACCAAAGGCAGTGTGAGATCTGAGGCAGATCAGCGAGATGTTTGACCTGTGTTATCAGTTCTTAGTAGCGTTCCGATAAGATTTTACGGGTTAAGCCCGCGCTATGTATTTAATATTAATTATGCCATTAAACGTAAAAATCAAAATTAAATAAAACGAATTTATTTAGCAATGTAGTCGCATGTCAGACCTATATTCAGCTTTTCTTTCACTTCTCTTTTCTTTTATATTTCTTTTCCAGAAATCCAGATGTTCTGGTGAGAGCATTAACCGCATCGTGCATTGAAAACGCTCTAAAGACGCCCTTTTGTGCTAAATATTATGTAAATATTGAATGTGATTTGGGTATTTTTCTTACGCAATTAATTAAGAGGGATATACCCCGACAAAATTTAAGCGTTGATTTTATGAAACTATTCATCAAAAAGCTATGGCGCTTCCAAGAGAGATAACTTTGGGGAACAATACAGCATGAAATGAATAATATAAGTACTAGTAGAACTACTACTCCTTAATCTGTTCTTTTTGTTATCAAAGATTTAAAAACAGTTCGAGATTCTTAAAATAATAATAAGACTTGTAGAGCTTTTATCGTCGCTTAGTCGGGACAACAACCCTCGATGTTACAAACTTTCAAGCTGGACAAAAGCTGAAGCGCCCACTCTGTGGGTTCCAGCTTTATTGCAAATCGCGGCCCCGCTGGCCTGACTAAAAATCAGTTGGCAGCGAGCTTTCAAGCGGGCAACAGGTGAACGGGCGCGCTCCGAAACGAAAGTGAAAGAAAAAACGCGAGACAAAAAACAAAACAAAAACGAACGAACCAAAGTCGCTCCAAAAACGCGCGACTCGTCTTTGGCAATCTCTGGTGCTCTTCTGGTGCTGCTGCAATCGCCGGAGAGACAGAGACCGAGATAGCTGGCACACTCTACCCACACGTAGAGTGGAATACCGAAACGATAAAGTCGGACTCTGTATAGTATGTGATGCCAATACACAATTCGGCGGCAATCGAACAAACGTGTTTACACTTAATTTGCTAATACAATTCAAACACACAATATCGGGAAATACAACCCCACAAAATGCGGCTTAGAGGCAAGGAAATGGGCAACATGCTGCTGTCGCCAGTGCTGATCGTCGTCGTCACAGCTTGTTTACTCACTCAAACAGCTGCTCAGGGGTTAGTATCCCACACTATGTCAGGCCCAGAGACCTGACAAACAGAGTGACAAACCGTATGAAAATGAGATGTGAGAAGATATGACATCACTCTGCACTCGACTCTCCACACTCCCAGTTTAATCCCCGACAATCCACGAAAATGAAAGACTTAAGAAACAAGCGTGCGAAACCATCATCTTCATCATCATCTGTGAGGGAAGAAGATGTATTATTAACAACATGTAATCAGGGAATTAACCATGGGGTTTATATTATGGCAGTTAAAATATGAAACAACCTGAGGCCAACGCAGTTTTTTTGGAGGTGATGCTGTCGCCTACACACAGATTCCAGCTTCCAATTTTGTTAGGGTGATGCAATGTGGCCGAGAGCCAGCAAAACAGGAGCAAAAAGCTCTCCGTCTTGAGTCACCCTGATGCTCTTGCTGCTGCTACAAGTTCTGCTGCTGCTAAGGTGACACATAAACGCGGATTGCCACTTATGTCTGTACTTATTTCCGATGGCAGTCACCTTGAACACTCAATGACTGACCAGTCCGGGGCAATACTCAGACGAGCCCGAGTATCTATGTACATCTACAGAGTAATTCTGATTGATGGCCGAGTGAAAGACTGGAGGCGGCTACTTCTGGCACTCTCCTGATCGTTGTCGGGGTCCATGATCTGTTTTGCTACCCGTTCGATATGTCTGCTTTGCCCCTTATATGGGGCGGGCACTCATTCAAGGCTTGATTTCAGTCGATTTCATGTAGGTGATCATCGTAGTCCATAGCAAAAACCAATCAGGTGGAACACTGTGGTGGAACTGCAACTGCAACTGAAATTTCAGGCTGTAACTTTTGCGGCCAATTTGAGCAAAAGCGAAATTGTTTTTTTTGCCATTTACCTGCTCTTACTAAGACCGTTTTACTGCCTAAGCGAACCTGTTTTTACTTTTTGGGCTAACAAACGTGACATAAACACAAAAGAAAATTTTTGTGGGAACAGGTTAGGCGGTGCCACAAGAAACCAATTGGAATTAGAACAAGCTGAAACTGTGAATTACGCCAAAGAGCAGACCGGACGGACGCACGGACAGGCGGACAGAAGGACAGACGGTGTGGCACAGTTAGGAGGCAGTCCATAAATTTCGCAATCTTGCTACCAACTAAATGAATAGCCCCCGAAGCTTGCTACGAAAGCAACAAAGTAAGACAGCGCCAAAAAAAATAAAACCCCAGCAAGTAATGAGTGGAGATTTTCAAATTGAAAACCAAACAGTGATCAGACAGAGCCGCCCCTTGGATGCTCTTCGGAAAGGGAATCTTGAGACACACACTTAACATAACAATATGGGCATGGAAACCATATTCAAATGTCTATTGATGGCATAGTTTTGGTTTTGCTGATGATATAAATTCCCCAAGCGAGGAAGAGTTGAAAGAAAAACCACAAAAAAATAGTTATAGCTCGAGCCACTCTGCCACAGCCCCCGACTCCAAGCATTTCCGACAGATGCCGCAAAGAGTCTGCTGCCGCAAAGAGTCTGATGCTCTGACCCCAGAGGAGGTGGGGGTTGTGGTGGAGGCAGAGTACATTACCCCTGTAACAGAGGTACGATTCGGTTTGGGTTTGGGTTCCGTTTCGGGGTATTGTCTTCCGTTAAGCGCGTGAATGAATAGCGACGCGAAGAGAAGATTCAGATTCCGATTCCGATTCAGATAGCATAGGTGTAATTCGCTTACAAAAAACAATTCACTTAAAATTTCCACTGTCTTCCGTTACAGTCTGTACTCCATCATTGCCCCGAATACAGTGCGACCCAACTCTCAGTTTCATGTGGCTGTAAGCCTCCATAAGGCACCGGAACCCGTGCGCTTCAAGGTGGGAATACTGGGCAGCACCTACACGGACTTCAAAACAGTCGAGCTGCGGCCCTACTCCACACAGTTGCTGCACTTTGAGGTGAGTTTTCCATTAATGCTGTACTCCTTTCTTAGTCTTGGTCGTTGTCTTTATTTTTGGTAGATTCCCGATCTCAAGCCCGACCGATATCGCCTTACATCGGAGGGTCTGGGCGGCGTACAATTCACCAACGAAACGCAGCTGCACTTTGAATCCCGACAACACACAGTTCTGGTGCAGACGGACAAGGGCATCTATAAGCCCGGAGACCTGGTTCATTATCGAGTGCTCGTGCTCGATGCGAATCTAAAGCCCGCTCGTGGCTATGGACGTGTCCATGTCGATATCAAGGACTCGGGGAATAACGTCATAAGAAGCTACAAGGATGTACGCCTAACCAATGCCATCTACTCGAATGAGCTTCGCCTGTCCGACTATCCGCGCTTTGGAACGTGGTCCATTGTCGTGGAAGTGGCGGAGCAGATGCACGCCCAGACCTTTGAGATACTCGATCATATATTGCCCAAGTTCGTGGTAGACATCGAGACGCCCAGGGATGCCATTTATAAGGATGGAAAGATAGCAGCCACAGTAAAAGCGCAGTAAGTCCTTTGATCAGCACAAAAATAAGGGATTATTCTTGATTATTTATCCTGCAGCTATGCCTTTGGCCAGCCGATTGTGGGTGAGGCCACCCTCTCCATTTATCCCACCTTCTTTGGGTCCCTGCAGCCATTCGTCAATGATCTGATCACCCGCAAGGTGGTGCCCATCGATGGTACTGCCTATTTTGAGTTTGACATTGAGCAGGAGCTCCGTCTGAAGCAGGACTATGAGCGGCAGTATCTCTTGGATGCTCTAGTGGAGGAGAAGTCCACGGGCTCTGTGCAGAACTATTCGACAGTTCTCACTTTGCATTTGAACCACTACCGCGTGGAGACAGTGAAGATTCCCAGCTACTACATACCCGGAGTGCCCTTTGAAGCCACTGTAAGTATTTCCTGAAAGTTATATTTAAATAGTTTAAAGAATTATAAAACTTCTTCGATTCGAAGGCTCGCATTGCCCGCAACGATGGCAGTCCTTTGAGGGACTTCAAGCCAGAGATCAACGCATATTTGACGAATGTCTATGGCAGCAGTGAGATGTACAATCGCTCTACTTATAGCCTGGATGCTCGCGGGGAAGTCAAGATGAAGTTCACGGTACCTGTGGGCGATAGCGATGAATTCCATTCGATTATTGTCGATTATTTGGGTGTGATAAGCGAGGTGGGCAAGGTACCACGCAAGCATTTACATAGCAAGAACTACATCACAGCCAAGGTGTTGAATGACAAGTAAGCATTGAATACAAGACCCAAAGCTTCCTCTAATGTCTCTTATGATTTTGTATCCTTCAGACCCACGGTCAATCAGGAGATATCCGTGGTGGTGCGTTCCAATGAGCCCATGAAGTACTTTATGTATCAACTGGTTGGGCGTGGAGACATCATCCTCTCACGCACCGTAGACGTACGTCTGATTGAGTAATTCTTCCGAACATATAAACCAATAAGAGTTTGTTCCTTCAGGTACCCGACAGCACCTTCCACACTATCAAATTCCTGGCCTCGTTTGCCATGATGCCGCGTGCCAAAATGCTCGTCTACATGGTCGTCAATGGAGAGTTTGTCTATGACGAACAAGTCATCCAATTCGAGGAGAATCTACTCAATGCTGTAAGTATATCAAAGTACTATTCACTCAAATGAGGTTACCAGTTAATTCTCACTTTAAGGTGCAAATAGAGGCTCCCATCAGAGCACCTCCCGGGCAGGACATTGATATTGGCATCAGCACGAAGCCGTACTCCTATGTGGGCCTAATGCTGGTAGATCAAAACGCCGCCGCTTTGGGGACTGGCAATGACCTAACCCACCGACGGCTCATGGATGCCCTGAAGGCATACGAGCTGAGTGATGTCAATACCCCCGTGGGCTCACCTGGCAAGGAATCTGGTGTGATAACCATGTCCAACACGGATTACTTCATCGAAAAGGAGGCAGAGAGCACGCCAGCCATAGGCCGGGAGGCCTCCACTGGCCCAGAGGAGGATAAGTTGACGACTGTGCGAAAGACAGACATTGGGCCGGCGCACAAGATCGAGGTGAACACTTTGCCACCCGGAAAAGGACGATACGCCTTCTCCTACACCCCGAAACCGTATTGGCACAATCCTCGTGTGCATGTGATGCGTGATCCAGCCGACACCTGGCTCTTCCTTAACATCTCGGCGAGCAGTGATGGACGTAACACCATCCATCGACGCATTCCCAGCGACATGACCTCCTGGGCCGTCTCAGCCTTTGCTCTGGATCCGGTCAATGGCTTGGGTCTATCCTCGCCAAATGGAAAACTGGAGGCCTACAAGGAGTTCTACATTTCCACTGATCTGCCCTACTCCATAAGAAGAGGTGAAGCTCTATAGAAATCCGCCATATGGTTTACTTGAACGTGTTTTCTTCTTTCAGATGAACTCATTGCCATTCCATTTGTGGTGCATAACAACAGGGAAAGTGACCTGAGTGTCGATGTCACTTTCTATAACACAGCCCTGGACTTTGACTTCCCGCAACTGGATCCGAAGGCCACCAGCAAGCCAAGTGAGTACCTCCCTAATCCCATCCATCCAATCATCTAAAAATTTTCTATTGTTTTGCAGAAGTGGAACTGTACAGCCGCCGATCTCTTCAGGTGCCCGCAAAGTCCGCCCGTTCCATCTCCTTCATTGTCACCCCCAAACGTGTTGGTGCCCTTCAGGTGAAAGCCATGGCTGCCTCTTCCCAAGCAGGCGACACAGTAGAGCAAACGCTTCTGGTGGAACATCCCGGAGCCACGGAGCGTGTAAACCGGGGCTTCCTCTTCGAACTAAACTCGAATGCGCCGAACAGGAAGAACGTCAGCATCATGGTGCCCCGAAATGCCATTCCAGAGTCGACCAGCATCGAGGTGTCCGCTGTGGGCGATCTGATCGGCAGCGTTTTGGGCAATCTGGAGAGCCTTATCCTCCTGCCCACGGGCTGCGGCGAGCAGACCATGGTGCACTTTGTGCCCAATCTTATGGTGTTGCGTTATTTGGGCGTAAGTCCAGTGATTTCTCCTATTCCCAGGTCTCTCAAGATTATGTTCTTCCTTTAGCGCCTTCGTCAGCTCACTCCCGAGATGGAGCTGCGAGCCACCAATAATCTGGCTCTTGGTTACCAGCGACTGCTGTACTATCGCCATGGGAATGGTGCCTTCAGTGCCTTCGGCCTGGATGCCAAACGGAGCTCCACTTGGCTGACGGCCTATGTGGCGCGATCCCTGCGCCAGGCGGCTCCCTTCATCCAGGTAGATAGCCATGTCCTGCAGAGCGCCCTCGTCTACCTGGCGAGTGTCCAGTCAGGAAATGGTGGTTTCGAGGAGCATGGTGATATATTCGAGCAGTTCGGCGACGATGGCATCAGTCTCACGGCTTTTGTGACCCTCGCATTGATGGAAAGTGTGGTAAGTGGAATCCTCCTTTGAAAGGTTAACCCTAATTTACCAAGCCCCCTCCTACACTAGGATTCCTATCCCGAGTACAGGAACAACATCAACAAGGCCCTAGACTTCATCACCAGGGGTCTCGATGGCTCCAGCAATCTGCATGCCATGGCTCTGGGCACCTACGTGCTCTCCCGTGCCAATCACAATGCCAAGGCAGCCTTCCTCCAGCGACTCGACTCGATGGCCATCAATGGGGGTAAGTAGATAATTCATAACTTTCCTACCGGACAAAATGTAAATGTAAATACTTCCCTTAGATGGTCGCAAATGGTGGAACAAGACAGCGCCGGCTGGTGAGCAGCAATCTCCCTGGTACAATGCCACACGGACTGTCAACATTGAGATCTCTGCCTATGCGGCGCTGGCTTTGCTGGAGAACAACCTGGTGGGCGATGCCTTGCCCGTGCTCAACTGGCTGATGGATCAGCGCAACGCTCAGGGTGGGTTTGTCGCCTCCCAGGACACAGTAGTGGGACTGCAGGCACTGCTCCTGTTCGCGGAACGCTTCTCCAGCCAGGGAAACAATCTGCAGATTGGCTTTCACTACGGCGAAGGAGCCGAAACCATACTCAACGTGAATGCTGAGAACTCGCTGGCACTGCAAACTGTTGAGGTAGGAGACCATAGACTCCAAACCTAAAGTATCTGCTAAAGTATCCATCCCCTTTTCCAAATTAGCTTCCCAGCAACCTGAAGAACCTGAGTATTTCCGCCACTGGTCGGGGCATGGCTTTGGCCCAAGTTAGCTACAGATACAACACCAATGTGACCAGTGCTTGGCCGCGTTTTGTACTGGATCCCACGGTGAATCGCAACTCCCATGCCGACTATTTGCACCTTTCGGCCTGTGCCAGCTTCGTTTCCGTGGTGGGTGAGCCGGAGCAGAGATCCAACATGGCTGTGATGGAGGTACAGCTACCCAGCGGCTTTGTCGTCGACACCGACACTCTGCCGACGCTGGAGTCGAGTGAGCGGATCAAGAAGGTGGAGACCCAGAACCGAGACACCAAGGTCGTCATCTACTTTGACTTTCTGGACAGACGAGAGGTCTGCCCCACGCTGCATGCCTACAAGACGGTCAAGGTGACCAAGCATCGCCCGGTGGCCGTCGTCATGTATGACTACTATGACAGCGGTAAGAGAGCCCATAACTTCCTCGTTTTCCCATAGATCTCACGGGGTCACTTCTTACATTTTAGCGCGACGTGCCAGACAGTTCTATCGGGCTCCCAAGTCTAATATCTGCGATATCTGCGAACATGCCAACTGTGGCAATCTCTGCGAGAAGGCAGAGAAACGAGCCTCCCGAGGACCAGATGACTTCACGGCCATTGCGGGTCATAGTTCCGGTCAAGGACTCAAGGCTCTCCCCATGGTAGTGGTGACTCTTTTAGGGGCCCTGATCTGGTAGAGGTTTTGTCCACTGCGGGTGGAAACCACAAGGAAATCGAAGCTTTAACAAAAACCCACTCACATAGTGCCTAAGTTAGACTAATCTAAGCCGTGAACTAAACCCGAGCTAAGTACATCTAATGATGCTAAAATGTTGCCAATAAAGTGTTATAACATTTACTAAAACCCTAGCACAGTACGAGTATCAGTGAGTTCTGAGATGTGCTTTTTATACCCGATAAATAGGGGTTTATTAGATTTGTGGTTAAAATGGATGTGTGTAACGTACAGAAGGAAGCGTTTACGATCCCATTAAGTATATATATTCTTTATATGCTGAAACTGGCACAGAAGGTGATTTCCTATTCTTTTTCCAGCATTTCTAATAGGTTTTGGTATTGTTCGAAAAGGAAATGTAACATATGTGAAGCGGATAAAAAATCTTTGTATGATTTGTATGATATTATATGTGTAAAATGGATGCCGGCAAGGTAACGGCAGGTCGGCACGCACGCAGGGCCAACACGATATATATGTATATATATTTAAAACAAAAAGAATACCTTTCTTAATATTAAAACTCAACGCATTACATATTTAATAAAAGTCATAGGATTTACATTATTATTTATCGTTTATGGTCCATAGTTTAAAGTCCATAAGTGATAGTGATAGTTGATAGTGTGATAGTTTGATTGTAGGCCTTAAACAAAAGTTACGATTACTGAGGACGGAAATCTGATCTGATCTATGCTAGGAAAAATGTTTATCCTATTTTTTCGTGCCCCTGGACAATATTCATATGTTATTTTATATATATTATATGTTCTAAAAATTATAATTTATATTAGCTCAGCCTTGAATATATTCATGAAACACATATATAGCTTAGAACGTCCGTTTGTAGGCTCAAAGTAATCATTAATTTTATCATTAGGTAACATTTGTATTATTTTGTTAGTTAATTTTGTGCCTAGTTCTTTAGAGACATACATTTTATTTTTAAAATAATAGTCTACAATTGCTCTTAATATTTCCTTTCTATTTATCACCCACAGAGTCTCCTTTTGCTTAGCTGCTTTTTATTTTATTTTTTAATTTTTCGTATCTCATTTACAGATAACTTTATATCAGACACGATCTGGCAATCAGATACATAAAGTTATGAGCATAACAAAAAAAATTAAACAAATTAAGCAGAAAAACAAATTCATGTTGGGCTTGTTCTCAAGTATAAATCTCTCACATATCCGAGTGGTTTACTTCAAAATCAGAATGATCAATTCAACATAAACATAAACAAGCCGAAAATTTAACACTGAATGGCGAATACCACCCCGCCACCACCGAAGAAGTCAAAGCGCATCGAACGCGACACGAATCGCGGCAAGTGGAAGTCCAAAACCGAGTTCATACTCTCGCTCATCGGCTATGCCATCGGCATTGGCAATGTTTGGCGCTTTCCATATCTCTGTTACCGCAGCGGCGGCGGTAAGTCTCATCACTCGCCCACCTCACTCAGTGCCCCACCTAGTCGCCACGTTCTCTCTTTGAAGCTCATTTCACTAGCAGAAAATAGCGCTGTCCAAGTGGGAGTGCAGTGCAGTGGGGTCAGGGCTGGGGCTCTGGCTGGGGCTGGGGCTATTTTTAGCCCCATTTCATTTAGCTTTTGAGTGAAAGCTGGACAAAAGCTTCGTCGCTTATGATGGCCTCTTTGCCGGTCTGTGGGGGACGCCTTCGATAGCTCAGTTGGTAGAGCGGTGGACTGTAGAGTTTCCGAGGCTTGGTGATGTGCGACGAGCAGCGGCAGGACTCTGGGCCTAACAATACCACGGCACCCAGACAGCGCCTACTCTTGCACCACCAGTTAATGATTCGCGATATGTTGAAATCCATAGGTCGCTGGTTCAAATCCGGCTCGAAGGATATCTTTTTTGTGGCTTCATTTTCTTCTTTTTCCAGGTGCCTTCCTTGTGCCGTACTGTTTAATGGTTCTTCTGGCTGGTATACCGCTGTTCTATTTGGAGGTACTCATCGGCCAGTTCTCGGGCACGGGCTGCACGGGAATGTTCCGCCTGACGCCGATACTGAAGGGCACAGGGATAGCCCAGGTCATCGTCAACATGTACTGTGTGTGCTACTACTCGGTTATCCTATCATATCCCATTCGCATGATATCCTACTGTTTCTACAAGACAGTTCCTTGGGTGGACTGCGACCATTCGTGGAACACTGACAACTGTGTTAACATAGATGATGTGAGTACGGCCCTATTATTTGTTCAATCCCCCAGCTCTGACAATCAATATTATAGCTGAAAAAACAAAATTCGTCGGACTTTGTGACATCAGCGGACGAGTTCTTTCAGTAAGTTCTTTGTGCAAGTTTTGTTCTGTATCAAACTGTCACATTTCTGTATTTTCAGTCGCGAAGTGCTTCAACTTTCAAGTGGCATCGACGATCTTGGCGGCATTGTGTGGGAGCAGACCCTTAGCCTCTTTCTATCATGGATTATCATCTATTTATGTGTGTCTCGAGGGATTCAATCGGTAAGAATCGTACACCGAAAGGCTCACCAAGTGTTGCTCACGGCTAAAGTGTTTTCTGGTGTAGGTGGGCAAGGTTGTCTACTTTACGGCACCCTTTCCCTATGTACTGCTTTTCATTCTGTTCGTACGGGGCATCACCCTGCCAGGGGCCTGGACTGGCATCAAGTTCTACATGTACCCCGAATGGGACCGCCTCCTTGATCTAAAAGTCTGGGCTGATGCGGCCATACAAATGTTCTTCGGCCTCGGCCCCGGATGGGGTGGCATCGTCAACATGGCCAGCTTCAGCGATTTCCGGAACGACGCGAAGTTCGACTCCATTCTAATTGTCACCGTCAATGTGTTCACCAGCATCTTTGCCGGTTTTGTGGTGTTCTCCGTTTTGGGTTTCTTGTCAGAGAAGTCGGGCATCCCCGTGGCTACGGTGGCCACCTCTGGTCCCGGACTGGCGTTTGTCACCTATCCAGAGGCCATAGCAAAGCTTCCGGTGCCACAGCTGTGGGCCATCATGTTCTTCGTCATGCTCTTCCTCCTGGGTATCGACAGTGTGGTAGGTTATCGTTATCCTCTGTGCCTCCACATGCTATTGGGTATTTTCTGATACTAGCTCCTTCATTCCACCCGCAGTTTGTACAACTGGAAGCCATCACCTCCTCAATACTGGACGAAATAAGGTGGTTCAGGAATCACAAGTGGAAGCTCACGCTTGTGTGCTGCACTTTTTTCTTCCTTTGCGCGATTATAATGACCACGCATGTAAGTAGACGTCGGACATCATTCGCATGGGTCCTAAAGGTCCCCCAACTTTTTCCCAGGGCGGCATGTATATCCTGCAACTGTTCGACTGGTACTCCTCGGCCATATCCGTGATAGCCATCTGTCTCGTGGAGATCATCATGGTGTCCTTCATCTACGGCATAGACAACTTCATGCTGGATGTGGAGTTCATGATGGGAAAGCGCCCCTCCATCATTTGGAAGATCCTCTGGAAGTGGGTCACTCCTATAGTTCTAGTCGTAAGTAGAATCCAGCGATCTTTCGGATATCTTTTTCCACCTTTTTCTGAGCTCCTTGCAGTTCATTTTTTTCATGAGCATCATCTTCATACGGACCATCAGTTACCATGGTAAAGTCTTCCCCCAATGGGCCATCATTATTGGATGGGCAAGTTTCGTGTCGTCCGTCATGTGGATACCGCTGTACGTCCTGTACATCATGATCCGCAAGCGGGAGACTATGTGCGACAGCCTCAAGAAGCGATTGAAGCCCCTGGACTGGACCCCTGCCGATCCGGAAGATCGCGAAAAGTACGAGGCCTTCCGTCGTCAGCGCAGAATGCCGGCCTTCATGTCTGACACAGACGCGGAGGGGATGAAATAATCCCCAATCCTAATGCCAAACATCTTTAACTTTTACAATACAAAACTAAGTGATTGTCAATAAAGACTGATTTGTATTTACAGCACGCATTAGTTGACCTCGTCGGTGACCTCGAACAGTTGATGGGTCACATCGGTGTTGCCCACAGCCTCCTCGTACTGCTGTCGATGCTCCATCTCCACAGGATACCAATCGGTGGGGCGGCATGTTCGCCTGAACCGCTCCCAACAGCTGCCTGTGCTCTGGTACATGTTGTACAGCCCATAGCCGGGTATCACCAGCAATGGTATCACCACCAGAAACACACTGATCACCAAAACAATCATCGAGGAATAAGAGTGCTCCATTATGGCCACGGCTATGCCCATCAACTACGAAATACAGAGGGTAAAGACAGTATAAGGACAAGTATTGCCAGTCAAAAATGAAAAACAAACCAGCGACACTATCAGTATAAGGGGAGCTATGAAGCGGAGAATGAAAATCTTCCATGAGGCAAAAGGCTGGCCCAACATGAACTCAATGTCCCGCTGAAAGCGTTCCCGTCCATAGATCCACAGAACCACCAACAGCAGCAGCAAATGAAGAATGCTATGCGACCAGATGGCATCCAGAGCCAAAGCAGAGAAGTACACGATGCCATGCTGCGGGGAAGGACTTACAGAAATTAAGAATACGAAGCATACACAACTCTACTTACATTTGTGCAAAAAAAGAAGGAGCAGAGGGCCAGGCCACCAATCAGGCCAAAGGTCACTTCCTGTTTGTACTTTCGTAGCCCCTCGAACTCGTCAAACACACTCGTGAGTACCGTGAATATTTGAGTGATCTGCAAATGAGAATGAGAATGAGAACGAGAACTCTCAGAAGGGGTTTCCACATACCATCACAATGAGGGCTGCCAGCAGTAGCATCGAGTAGTATATCACGGTCCACATGTTGGGCCACTCCATGGAGGCCAAAGCACTGGCACTCGACAGGAACAACAGCCAATGGTTTATGACATGTGTGTCAAAGTTTTCGGTTTTCATTTCTGGACCATAAGAAGGGTTTTTGCATCTTAAACAGTCCCAATTCAATTCAACACATTACCCACCTTCGTAGTAATGTTCGAGCATAAAGGTGACCAATCCGAAAAATATATAAATGAAGATCTGGCCAAAGGAAATAATCCAACTGTAGGACATTATGTTCGTTTTGAAGCCGTTGAAGCTGGAGAGCGCCATCACACTTCCCCAGCCAGCTCCGAAGGCCTGCAGCAC